CTAGGCCTCCCCTCCTGGCCAGCAATACACAAGGGTCACCTACCTCAGTGTGGGCCACCTCTCTCAAGCCAAGCCCTAGGGTAATCAGGGGTCTCTTTACCTACTTCCTCATTCATCAATAATAACATTTCCACCTATTTTTCCATGATTCACCTAAATGCAGAACCTTCAGCCCTCCAGCAAATATCATTTATATAACAATGAAATAAAATAATAATCACATAATATAATATCATATTATATTAAATCATCCCCTATTGAATGCCCTGCAGAAACCACCCCTCCCCATTTCTGATTGGCAAAGGCCCCAGGCCACGTGGTAAAGGCCTGAGCAGGCCTAAGAGGCCCAAGGCAGCACCTCGCACTCAGACCCCTGATGAAACACAGGCATAGTGGCTTCAGTGCCTCCAGAAGCTCCTTCTGGGGCTCTGCCCCAGACCCCAGACCCTTGGCCTCCCACCTAGAGGATGGAAGAGGATCAGAAATGAGGCCTACCTCTCTCAGGAGACCCTCAGACACCCTGCCTCCAGGTCTCCCAAGGACAGAAAGGAAGGAGCCTGCTCTGCCCCTAGGGATAAGGGATGCAGGCAAGGCACAGGAAGGGGCGAGAGAGGGGAGGGGAGGGCAGAGGGGCACCCACAGGGAGGAGAGGAGCACAGGGGGAGAGCAGAGAGGCCCAGAGGTGCTGCTCTGCCCCCTAGGGATAAGGGATGCAGGAAGGCACAGGAAGGGCAGAGAGAGGGGAGGGGAGGGCCAGAGGGGCACCCACAGGGAGGGAGAGGAGCAGAGGGGAGGAGCTGAGAGGGCCTGGGTGCTGCCCTCCCTAGGGATAAGGGGATGCAGGAGAGGGAATGGGAAAGTGCAGAGAGAGGGGGAGGGGAGGGCCAGAGGGGCACCCACAGGGAGGGAGAGGAGCAGAGGGGGAGGAGCAGAGGGCCTGAGGAGCTGCTCTGCCCCTTGCAGGGCCAAGACAGAGTTAGGGCTGGAAGGGGCCTCCCAAGGTCATCTAGGAAAGCTGCCCCTTTTACAGGGGAGGGCTAATGCTTGCTCAGCATGCCCAAGGTAGCAGGATGAATATTGGCATTCTCCAGCTTTGATTTTGATGGCCTCCCCTAACCCTCTTTACAACTGGAGAAACTGAGGCCCAAGGTTGTGGGCAGCTTGTCCACTGTGGTCCCTTCTTACAAAAGGTGAAACTGAGCCCCAGCGACCCCAGAGGTGCCCTGTGAGGTGTAGAGCTATTTTATCCAAGTGGAAACTGAGGTCCAGAGATGTCTGGCACTTCCCCAGTCACAAGCCCAACCAGAAGCTTGCTGGACTCCCAGGCTCTTGGGGGGCAGGGGTGGGGGGTTGTCGTTAACTCAACAGGACGTCTGTGTGTTGCTGGCCTGGGTGGGGGGAGGGACAGGGCAGAAGAAGCAGAATGCCAGTCCAGCTGTAAGCTCTGTAACCCTCCTTGGTGTTTGACCCGGTAGTGCCTGCCAGAAAAGAGCCCGACATCCTAAGGGTGAGCGGCATGGGGGAAGCAGAGGAGGGAGAAGCCAGTCGATGACTTGAGCAACAATGTTTACCGAAATCCAACTGGTGCCAGCCAAGTGCTTTGTAATCAGGCAGTCAGTCAACAAACCCTGAAGCTCCTGTGTGCCAGGCACTGGGCAGGGGATTCAAATACAAGCAAAAACAGCCCTACCCTTAAAGGGCTTACACTCTAATGGGGAAAGGCTCCCTTTACAGCAGTAGTGGAGCTGGTGGACCCCTCCCCAGAATGCAGCGTCTGGGAGGAGGAAAAGGGGCCAACAAGGGTGAAGGAAGGAGACTTTGTGATAGGTGGGGGAGGAGTCTTCTGAAGGAGCTCACACTGTAGGAGAGGAATAATCACAGACATTTATATAGTGCCTACTGTGTACCAGGCACTGTGGGGGCCATCTCCAGTTGTCCTGATTATGTATCTTGCCACTGGACCCAGATGGCTCCAGAGGAGAAAGGGAGGCTGCTGACCTTGCCCTGCCCTCCCTCCCTTAAATCCAATTCACTTGCAAGTCATGGCACCACCTCCCTGATGTCCTGGTCCTCTTCCAGAATGAAGGACAAACAAAAACTGGGGGGGTTGGGGAACTGAGGCCCTCGAGGTAAAGTGGCCTGCCTTAAGGTATTTGAATAGTAAAGGGGCAGAGAATTCAAACTTGGGTTTTTATTTCTTTTCTATTTTTCTTCTTAATGATCCCCTTTATAATATATATCATATATATAACAGCCCTCTTTATCACAGATATCTTATACATAACAATATATTATCAGAATCCCCCTTTATCATACATGTGGTATGTATAACAATATATTATTACAACAACTCCCTTTATAATATATTGTATATATGTCAATATGTTATTATAATGACCCCCTTTTCCCCTTAGAAACCTCCCTTACAACAAGTCTGTACAGTTAAGTGCGGCATGGCCCTCACCTAGACTCCTCATCTGCACAGTGAGGAGGCTAGAGCAGGTGACTTTGGAGATCCCCGCCCCCATCTCCAAGTCCATAGAATGGTGAGAATGGACCAGGACATTGGCTGTGTCTGAAAACGTCTGCCTTATTCTGTCCCTGTGCCGAGAGGACGCCTCCACCATGATGCTCCTCTGAGGTCTTGCTCCGAATTCGAGAATCTTTTCTTTGCAGGGTAGTTCTCATTGGGTACATCAGTCTCCTGTCATTCATGTATAGAGCACATCCTAAATTCAACTGGATAAACGTGTAGGGCAGGGCTTACCTGTTATGAGTGTCCACCCCACCCCAAATTTGGGGGAGGGCCTTGTACTCTGTATGTACATATTCCCCTACCCCACTCCTTAAAGCACACATATGCTCTCATATATACACATATTACCTCATGTACACTCATTCCCAATATACTTTAATGCACGTGCTCACTCCTGCACACACTTCCACATGTGTATACAGACTCACAGACATGTAAATGGAGATGTAGGATGCACTTACCAACATGTATCTCCTATCACAATTCCAGATGATGCAGTAGATAGAGTACCGGGCCTGGAGTCAGGAAGACCTGAGTTCAAATCTAGCCTCAGACACTTCCTAGCTTGTGACCCTGGTCAGGTCACTGAACCTCTGTCTGCTCCAGGTTCCTCATCTGTAAAATGGGGATAGTGATAGTACCTACCTCCCAGGTTGTTACAAGAATAAAATGAGATATTTGTAAAGCAGTGGTGTCAAAGTCACTATACATAAGGAATCCTGCAAGCGTGTATGCACTTAGAAAACTACATGTTAACATTATCTACGTTCTGTTGTATTTTTGTGCTAAATATTTCCCAATTACATCTGAATTTGCATTTGGCAGCACTTGGGAGGGTCCATGGGCAACGTGTTTGACACCTCGGCAAGCCTCAAAGTGCGATATAAATGCTAGCGATTGCTATTACACAGACACGGGCTTGTACATAGCTTCTCAGTACCTGGTGATGGGCCTACTGATTCTCCCCGACGACAAAAAGCTAGCTGCTTTAACAATGGAATCCACTTAGCTTAATTACCTACAAAATGCTGGGAAGCAGCATTCAGGTGCAGACATCCCAGAGGAGTAGCTCCTCTACTCTGGGCTATGTTGGGTAACTTAGAGTTGGGCAGGACGTTGGAGGCACAGTCTGGTTGTAGGATTCGACACGCCACAGGCTGATAATTCAAGGCTACATTTCTCTGAGGCCCCTCGAGGTAAAGTGACCTGCCTTATATATATCACATATGTATAACAGCATATTATTCTAACAGCCCCCTTTATCATATATCATATATATAACAATATATTATTATAACAACTCCCTTAATAATATATATGTATTATATACATAAAACAATATATTATTATAATGACCCCCTTATAACAAGTCTGTACAGTTAAGTGTGGCATGGCCCTCCAGCAGGTGACTTTGGAGATCCCCCCCGCCCCCCCCCCCCCGTCTCCAAGTCCATGGAAGGGCCTATACCCTGCTGCGATACAGGCTAGAGAAGGGAACCTGCTACAGGCATCGTTTTCTCAGGGGCCAGGAACGTTCCCTGGGTTTTGCCCCTGGCCCAGCTTGTCTGTTACAGGTTGTCCTAGCCTACCAGCTAAACCACCTGGACCCAAACAGACCATAGGTACCAAGATTCTCTTTCCAGAAATTGTTCCATGCATTGCTTGATGGGGATTTCTACCCCCTAGCATCAGTGTGGGTTTGCTTCATGAAACGGATGTGTAACTGTATAGTGACAGCTGGCCTTTGGGCCAGTCACTTCAACTCTCTAAGCCCAAGCTCCTTCCCCTGTAACATAAGGAAGTTGGTGGACTAGATGACCTTTGAGGGTTCTTTCTAGCTTTGTGATTCTAGAATCAGGCATTCTCGAAGGGCCCTTCCCATTCTGATGGTTTGTGGTCCAAGAGTTCTTCCAGCTCTGAAATCCTGTGATAACGCTCTTCTGATCTCTGCCTATGGTGGGTGCTGAAGGCCGGCAATACTGTGTTTCAACTACTTGCCTAGTGCGTAAAGGAAATCAGGCATTGGGCCTAGGTCCTACAAGACAGCCTTAGGCTTTTCTTTCTAGTTGTGTTCTGGTTCCCGTGGGATAGCTGGGCTAGGGCTGGAGCTCCGTGTGTATGTGCCAGACGCAAACACTAGGCTTCTCAGGGCTGGTGATGGGCAGGAATGTGCATGGGGCACTGTGAGTGGGAGCAGTGCACATTATGTGGTGGGAGTGGGTTTCTGGTGGCCCACGGAGTTTTGACGATGACTCGAACGTTGGTTTTTCCACGGTTGAGGTCACTGGTGAGTAGCAGTTACTTCAAGTTTGCCATCTAGTGGCCATTGCCAGAGCAAATAGCTTGGGGAGGGGGTGATAAAAATAAAATAATGCTTTTCTAGAAATGAGACTAGTTTTAAAAGACCAGCTTATAGGTCTACAAATATTGGCACTGCAGGAGAACCCCTGTATTACTGCCGAGGATGAAGGCTGAGGCCAAGATGCCTGTCGGAGACTTTCTGCATCATACTGTGAAAGGATCCTTACGTCCTAGAACAAGAACAGGAAGGGGCCTCCGAGGTCACCTCATGCGCCCCCCTCAACTTACACAAGAGGAAAGTGGAGCCCAGAGCAGGGAGTATGACGTCTCCGAGGTCACTCAGATAGTAAGTGGCCCGAGCAGGACTCAAGGCTCCAACTCCTAACTCCTAACTGCAGCACTGTAATTAGCGCTCCTCAATCTGCCACTTACCAGCTGTGTGACTTGGGGCAAGGCACTTCAGTCTCTGTTTCTCAGTTTCCTCATCTGTAAAATGGGGATAATTGTGCATTTTCTGCCTTCGTGTTGCGAATAAGTAATTATGTAGGCCTTAAAATCCTACAGACATGTGAGCTGCTTTTACATATTTGGGAGCCATTAGCATCCTTTCCTGTGTCTTCCAGGAGCTGGCCCCTTCACTCATCCACCCCTCTCCTAAACCTGCAATTGCTCCCCCCCTATCTCCTGGCTGCTTCCCTGCTGCCCAATAAATCTGCTTGGCTCCCTGCCTTATTTACCAAGCTTTCCCTCAAGTCATCGCTCTAGATGTCTCTTCCCTCTCATAACCAAACTCCTAGAAAAAAATGTTTTTACTTGTTCCCTTCCTCACCTCCCGTTCCTCACACCCTTGGAATCTAGCTCCTAGACTCCCCACTCAGCTGAAGCTGCTCTCAGCCTTTTCGTGGACCTCCTCCTTCTTGTTCCTTCTGCAGCTTTGGCACCATGGAGCGCTGCTTCTTTCTCGATGCCCTCCATGCAGGTGACTGCCAGGTGTACATAGCCAGCCTCCATCTCCTTGCTGGCCTCCATCCCTGCATCTCTGGCTGTCTGCTTGGTTCTCCCCATCGTATGTCCCGTAGGCATCTCTCCTTACCAGTTCTTCTTCCATGTGGCTGCCAACTTGAGATTCCCGCAGCACGAGGTTAACCATGCCACTCCCCTGCTCAAGAAGTGTCTTGAGGAGGAAATACAAACTCTTCTCCCTGGCATTTCAAGCCATTTGCAATCTGGCACTAGCCCGTCTTTCCAGTCACCCTAAAACTGGCTTGCTTGGTATTCCCCATTCCCCACCTCTGTGACTTTGCCCAGGTTGTTGCCTGTTCCTGAAATGTTCCCCTTCCTCACCTTCACCTTTTGGAGTCCTTTGCTCCCTCCTTATCATGCCAGGTCATGTTCAGAATCTTCCTGACAACTTAAGTGGAAGCCGTTCCATTTCCTGGCATGGCGCTAGTAGACGGTCCAGGTTTCACAGGCATACAACAATGAGGTCAGCACAACAGCTCGGTAGACCTTCAGTGTGGTAGTCAGTCTAATACCTTTTCTCCCCCACACTTTCCTTTGGAGCCTCCCAAACACTGAGCTTGCTCTGGCAATGGGTGCGTCTACTGTGCCTGGCAGGATAAGGTACTGGACACTGAGGTCCTTTCTCCAGCTGAACTGCTGAGCATAACTCTGATGGGCTGGTCACGTTGTTCGAATGCCAAATATACACTTGTCTAAAAGACTGTTTTACAGAGAACTCACACAAGACAAGTGTCTCACGTGGTGGTGAGAAGTGATACAAAGACACTCTCAGGGTCTCTCTGAAGAGCTTTGGAATCGGTTGTGAGACATGGGAGACACTGGCATAGGACCGCCCAGCATGGCGTGCCCCCCATCAAAGAAGACGCTGTGCTCTGTGAGCAAAGCAGAATCCCAGTAGCACAGAGGAAACGTGAGTTGCACAAATCCAGAGACATCTCCATTGCAAATGTTCTAACGGACTGCTTGGGCCCAACCTGTGGTAGAGCCTTCGGGGCTCATGTTGGACTGATCAGCCCCAGCTGGACCCCAACATTGGGATGTTACTGGGCGTCTTAGACAATGAAGGGGGAACAGCACCAACTGTACTCCAAAATTACTTTATCTTGAATCCATTTGTATTTGCGCATCAACACACGTGTTGCTATTCCCCTAATAGAATGTAGACTGCTTGAGAGCAAGAACAATTGTACTGGTAGGGAATGAGATTTGAACTCCGTCTGTGGTGTGGGCAGGTGCTTTATAACGGGGATTTATCGACTCTTTCTTTGTTCCCAAGAGCTTCTTTGAAAAGAAGGGCCCAGAGAAAGCGGGGATCTTGTCACCAAGAGCAGGGAGCATCCTGAGTCTTTAGATGGACCTAAAGGCCTGTCTCCATTCTGCAGGCTGTGGAATGTCAAGCCAGAAAGGACCTGAGAGCCAGGTGACCCTAGAGGTCATGTCGTCCAACCCTCTCATTTTACGGATCGGGAAACTTGCCCTGCATCAAAGTCTGTGGCAGAGCCAGGGCTAGAGCCATCACAGCACTCCCTGTGCCACAGAGGCCCTTTTTAGTGCCAGCCAAATCAGCCCCATTTGGAAGGGATGTCCGGGGGAGGCCTGCAGCTGAAGGGGAAGTGGGCCCACGCTGGAGCCTCAGAGGGCCCCTAAAGTGCTGAGGAGCTTCTAGTACTGGTCTGACGCTGACGTGCCGTGTGACCTTGCACAAAGAAATCCCCCTCGCTCCTTAAGGCTCAGTAGGATTCCAGATGCTGTAATTCTAGGGGATTCTTAGTGTACCTGACTGATCGTCAAATGAGTCCCAGGAAGGGGATTGGGTGCTTAGCGAAAAAGCCAACAGGCAGCTAGGTGCAAGGAGGGACTGCAGTTACATCATAGATGATAGTTGGTGAGATAGAAGAGACCTTAGGGGTCACCTACTGTATACCCCACAATTTTACAGAGGAAGAAACTGAAGCCCAGAGAGGTCAGGTGACTTGCCCAAGGTAACACAGCTGGGGTTTGAACCCAGGTCTCCTTACTCTCTGGTACCAGAGTCAGTAGCGCCTCACTGCCTGCCTAATGTGGTTCTTGCTGCTTGAAGCAGGAAGGAGGACAAGCTTTGGGAACGGTAAGGTCAGAGGCCATGGAACCTTCTGGATGCTCTTCCATCTAATCCATAGAATGATACCTCTTGAGGTATCTGGGACTATCCAGCCAGGATCTAAGCAGGCAGGCCCGGGAGGCACATGGCCACATGCAGTTTGTGACATGGGAGGCATCTGTACGAAGACTGGGCGGAACTGGACGAGAGGCCGTCAGCCAGCAGGGGCCACGTCCCCACTCTGGGGTGGACTCTCTTCTTCTCCTCTCAGATGAGAACTTCTTTCCCTTTCTCAGAGTCATGTTTTTAAATAACTGAAGGAAATGCTCAATGTCAGCTGGAGGTTGGTGAAAATGAGATTGTAAATTTTTCCTCATCCAGTTTCATGAACCCCCTCCAACTCCATCCACAGACCCCCCCCAAGGGCTCTGTGGACCCCCAAGTTATGAACTCATCCAAATCCATTCACAGACCCCCTCCAAGGGCTCTGTAGACCCCAGGTCATGAACCCCTTGACTAGATGATCTGAAAGGTCCCTTGCCACTCTAAATCCTGTGCTCCTCGGCTCCGCAGTGTCCCTGCAGGATATCAACATGAGGAAGGCTTTCCGGAGCTCCACAATCCAGAATCAGCAGGTGGTATCACGTAACTCCATCCCCAACCCTGTGATGGAGATGTACCAGCGGTGTGACAAGCCCCCGCCTCTCAACATCCTCACGGCCTACAGGTAGGAGGGAGGGTAGGGCCCCTGGCGACCAGGATAGGTCTGGAGAGTGAGAGCAGGTGGAGCCCGAGTCAGGATCCTGTTCTATCTCCTGGGGCTTTGGCTTTGGTCAGGAGTGCCGGCCTTAGAGTTGGGGCACCTGACCGAGCCCTGGCTGGGTCCTTTCCTAGCTGTGTAACCTGGGGCAACTCACCGCATCTCTTATAGCTTCAGTTTCCTCATCTGATAGGACAAAATAATAGCCTTCCTGCCGTACAGGGTCATGGGGAGCAAAATGCTCCCTGGCCTTTTTTCCCCACTTATTGAGAATATGTGAACTGCTGCCATGAAAGAGGTTGCCTTTGGCTCCATGTTGAGCCGCCGTCTCACCTGGGTAGTGACCGTTGCCTGCCCAGGCCTCATCACCTTGACTGGTGGGTCAAGCGTTCCTCCTCGCTTCTTGGCTCAGAGCTGGGGGCATGTAAGCGTGAGTACTAAGATCCCCTCCACACCAGAGAACACCTCTCAGTTAACAGTCGCGGCTGGTGATAATAAAGAAGAGCTGGCAATGATTTAGAGTTTTTATGATTATGAGGTTTATGTTACGAGCTTTGTATCTCCTTCAGTGCCTCTGCACAGTAGGCACCAAATACATCTTCACAACAACTCTGGATTATGATCCCTATTTTACAGATGAAAAAACTGAGACCCAGAGAAGTGAATGACTTGCCTTAGGTCACACAGCTAGTAGGTGGGAAGATGAGGCTTCCTGACTCCAAGATCTCCTGACTCCAAGCTCAGTGTTTTTTCCCCTACACTACTGCTATTACCTCCACATGCTTCCCCGGGGAGCACACAGCCTCCTTGCTTATGCCAAGTAACACCCATCTTTCAGGAATGTGCTTTGGAGGGCAGGTTGTTTGGGGGTTTCTTGGGAAGTGTCTGGTTGGTTGAAACAATGGCTTCATCCACTGCCTGGCAGTCGGGAGACCTAGTGTTAAATATTTTCTGAGCCTTCTAGATCTAAGCTCCCATCATCCCAACAAGAGAGGGCATTTTCTGTCCTTGGGGGGTGTCCCTGGAAGGCAGCAAGCTCAAATTTAACTGGGCCTCATGGCTTTCCGATGTGGGTTCGAATCACAGCTAACTGTGTGACCTTAAGCAAGTCTCTTACCCTTTCTAGGCCTCATTTTGCTCTTCTGTAAAATACAGGGGGCAGACTAGATGCCAGCTGTTGATGAGCTCACTAACATGCCCTTTTGGGTCCATTTCAGAGATGACAAGAAAGATGGCCTTAAATTCTATACTGACCCATCATATTTCTTCAACTTGTGGAAAGAGAAAATGCTTCAGGCCACTGAGGATAAGAGGAAGGAGAAACGAAGGCAGAAGGTACATGGGTGGGGGCGGAAAGAGAATTAGACATGAGAGGAGCTCCCTATCTCTCATGGTGCCAGGAGTTAGAAGTCCTCTTGGCTTGGGCCCTTGTTGTGTGACCTTGGATAAGTCACTTCTTTCTGAGCTACAGTGTCCTCATCTGTAAAATGAGGGAGGCGCATTAGATGGCCTCTTAGATCCCTTATTATCTGTGATTGCGTGTGTGTGTGTGTGTGTGTGTGTGTGTGTGTGTGTGTGTGTGCTCATGTATGTGTGTGTGTGTTAGGGAGAACCCTGACAAGAGGTGGCAGGACCAGGATGATGAAGGGACTGGAAGCCCTGCTGTGTGAGAGTCAGAATTTAGTTTGGAAAAGGAAATGCTTTGTGGGGGGCCATGGCAGCAGTCTCCAAGTATTTGAAGAGAGATTAGCCTTTTCTTTGCTTGGTCCCAGAGGACTAGCAACTATGTGGGGAAGTTGCCAAGAGATTCTGGTTCAAATCTAAACTCTTTTGGGGGAATTACAGATCGGGGTGTCCTTTACAGGTGAGGGCCAGGGCCCATGCAGTCCCGAGATTCCCCAATCAGAGCTAGTTCCTGGTCAGGCTGTTGCAACGCTGCTCCCCAGAGTGGTCTTCATTGCTCAGGAAGCACCTTCTCCTCAGAATCCATAGACGCGTAGCTCAGCTACTCAATTTGGAAGGCTGCAGACTTTGGCTTCAGTGACATCAGCATTTGTCCCTTCTGTCCACCCACCCCCGCCAATCCCTCTTGACCCTCCTTGGACTCCCAGGACCCACCTGGCTTTTCTGTCAATCCTAGGCTGGACTAAGGAAGGGAAGGACCCTGTTGTCCTCGGCCCTGATCAGCCTGCATATAAAATATTGTGTTCCGTTCTGGAGGCCACATTTTAAGGACTTTGATTAGCTGCAGGACAACCAGGTTAGAGAAGGTCTCTGGGAGCCCACCACGTGAAGATCGCTTGAAGAGACTGAGGAAAGAGAAGACACGATAGCTGTTTTCAAGTATTTGAATGGTAAAGGACTAAAAATACAACGTGACCCAGTGACAAAGAGCTGACGTGTTAGTTCCATGTCAATGAATTCCCTTTGTGAATCAGTTTAGTTGGTCTCTTTTGCTGGCTCTGTCTTCCACCCCCTAACCGTGGGTGTTCTTTTCTCTCTACATGCTATCTACCCATGTGATTTCATCAGCTTCCTTAGGGTCATGTATCATCTCTACATAGATAACTCCAACGTCCAAAGCATTTTATAAGCCTTTCATGTAATATCAGTGATTATTAACCCTGATCTGTCCCCTCGTTACCAGCTGCCGGGAAGACATCTCTATCTGGATGTCCCATTGGCACCTCAAAATCAAGATGTTGAAAACAAAGCTCATTGTCTTCCCCTTAAAACCTGCTCCTCCCCTACACTTGCCCATTTTCATAAAGGTACGACCACTAATTCCTGTTCTACCTCCAGACCGTCCTTTCTGCCTGCCCGCGTGGATTCCTCATCACCTCCTTCCTGGAGCGTCGTAATGGTATCCTTGTCTCTTGTCTCTAGTCTCTCCCTTCTCCCATCCTTCTTCCACACAGCTGGCAAAATAATCTTCCTAAAGCGCAAATTCCATGCTCGGAAATCTTTAGTGGTTCTCTGTTGCCTCTAGGATAAAGTAACTTGTCAGCCTGGCATTGCCTTCTCACCCTAGCCCGTAATATCTAGCTGGCCCCAGATTGGCTCATTCTTCGTTGGCGTCCCATCCAGTCATCCAGCCAGCCATCTTGCAATCTGCCCCCCAATCCTATCACCACCCAATGTCCCAGTTTCCCACTGTCAGCCTCCTCAAGTAGAGTAGTCAAATCAATATGTCTCTGTGCAATAAGAACAACGAATAAAATGAGACGATTCAGACGGCAACTCGGTCTAAGGAAAACGATTGCTCCCTTCTTAAATTCATCAAACCGATACCCAATTTTGCTTCAGGTTTGCTTCAGACCAATATTGCTTCAGGAAAGGATATCTTCTTAATTGGCTGCCCAGTGGATGACTTCGCCATCCTTGCTGACTTAGACCAAAATTCCCTTCCTTAGCTACCACTTCCCTCCATGTTTTGTCTTCCCCATTAGAATATCAGCTCCTTGTGGGCAAGGGCCATCTCACCCTTGTGTTTGTATTCCTAGCACTGAGCACGTTCCCTGGCACGGAGTAAGTGATTAATAAATGGTTTTTCTGTTCATTCCTTTAAAGCCCTTCCCAAGCTAGCTCCAACCAAACTTTCAAGGCATATTTTCTGTTACTGTCCTGTATTCATTGTATACTCTAGCCAGCCTGGCCTGGTAGCCGTTCCTTGAACCCAGCCTCTCATCTACCTTCACCACGCTTTTGTACATACTGCCTTGCCTGAAACGTAAACCTTGTTCACCTCTGCCTCTTCGAATCCTTGGTTTCCTTCAAGGATAGAGTGCTGAGCCTGGAGTCAAGAAGACCTGAGTTTGAATCTTGCCACAGGCACATCTTTAGCTGTGTGACCCTAGGCAAGTCACTTAACCTCTGTTCGCCTCAACTTCCTTGACTGTCAAATGGAGAGAATATAAGCACCCACCTCGCAGGGTTGTTGTGAGGAACCAATGAAATAATATTTGTAGAAAGAGCTTACGACAATTCCTGGCACATAACAGGCACTGTGTAAATGCTAATTATTATCGTTATTATTGTTAAAGGTTCAGTTTATTTGACCCACCTACAAGAAGCCTTTCCTGACCCCCCCCCCCCCCACTGGTTAACACTCTCTCCCTCCTTGAGGTGTATTGTTTATACTTACCTGTTTGTGGTTTCCCTGGAGGGCAGGGGCTTCTTGGCTTTGTCTGTGTATTCCCAATGCCTAGTGCTGTGCTCAGTACACAGGAAAAATGGAATAAATGCTTGGTGAATTTATACTGCACTGACTGTATCCTCCCGTCCTTTGAAAAAGCCCTCATTTCCTCTGAGCACCCACGCCATCTGCCCTTCAGTCCCTCTCTTCCCCTTTATAGCTAAACTCCTCGAGGACGCTGTCTCTAACAGGTGGAGGGATAGAGGGTTGCAGGGAGCCCCAGATGGGTAGGGAGGCCTCCGTGGATGGTGAAGTCAAAGGGAGGCTAGACGTCCATAGTCTCTTTTCCTGCCATCTTTCTCTGAGGGGAGACTTTCATTCCTGCCGGGAGGGGAAGCGGGAAGTTGGGGCCAGAGGCCACCGTTCTACTCTCCGCAGAGAGAGGGGGTACTGACTAGAAGTCTATCTATCTGCTTCCCTTGATATTATTGTTAGTCTTGGGGATGTGACTTTTGATCACTTTGTCATTTGGAGGGGGAAGGTCTACATCCGGGGCTTACTGCTTTCCCTCCTAATACCAGTTCCGCAATGAACACCACGGCAAATGGCAAAGAAACCACTTTATCCAAATCATAGCAAAACAGAAATATGAGGGGGTACACGCACAGGAGAATCTACACCAGGCGACACAGTGAAGGAGCTCGCCCATTGGAAGTGAGATAACAGCTACACCAAGAGAGAGGCTCTTGGAGCACAGCCAAGGGGAAGTTCCCCACTCCTCTAGAGCAGCAAGCTGGGATGAGAGCCGTGGTGGAGACTGCCCACCCCTCTCATGTCTTCCTAAAGTCTTTTCCTTCAGCAAGGGTTGAAGTGGGATTGGCCTCTTCCGTTTTCTTTCTCCAGGCTAGGAGCCAGGAGCTCCTGAATGATGAGTCCCCAAAGGGGAATTTAGCAAAGGCTAGAGCTCTCTCAGCTCTCCCTAACTCGCCTCACCCCTTACACAAGGCAGGGCCTTCATCTCCCCCCATGAGAGGAGAGTCCCATAGCGATGGGCTTTGGGATGGGCTTACGTAGGTGCTTCTACTTCCTCTCCTCTTTTGCTTCTAAACCCTGCGCAATGTGGCTTCCAATCTCATTTAACTGAAAACTACTCTCTCCAAAGTTTCCAGTGACTGCCAGATCACCCAGCCTCACAACCCTTGTGCCCTCTCTGCAGCCTTTGACCCTTGGTGAAGATGACCTTCTCCTATGGGTACTCTCTTCTCTCTAGGTTTTCATGACACTGTCTCCTGGTTCTCCTCCTATCCATCCAACTGCCCCTTTCTTCTCAGTCTTTGCTGGCTCTTTAGGTCACACCCGCTGAGAGTGGGGGTCCTCCGGGCTCTCTCCTGGCCCCTTCTCTTCCTCTCTCTCTCTCTCTGCATCTTACTTGGTGATCTCAGCTCCCATGGTTCAGTGATCATGTCTCTGCAGATAATCTCACATCTCTTGGTGAAGTCCTAATTGCCATTCTCACACACTTAACACAGCTCAGATCCTGACTTGGGAAGGTCTGAGGCAGGAAAGGAGAACTTTTTGTTTTCATCAGAAGACTGACCTGACAGGACTCAGAGACATTGAAATGGACTGTGGAGGAAAGTGGTAGCACCTTTTAAATTAGCTAGCTTCCTATCAAGTCAACAAGCATTTATCAGGCACTGATTGTGTGGCAGGCACTATGCTAAGCTCTAGAGATTTTTTTCTTTCTTTGTAGAAAGGCAAAAGCAATCCCTACCCTCAAGGGGGAGAACACATGCCAACAACTCTGGACAAAGAAGATATAGACAAGATAAATTGGAGGTGGTCTCAGAGGGAAGGCTGAATGCCTTAAGAGGGTCAGGAAAGGCTTCTTGCAGAAGGTGGGATTTTAGCTGAGACTTGAAGGAAGCCAGGGAAGGGAGGAGGGAGAGAGTTTCAGGCATAGGGGGGCAGCCAGAGAAAATGTTCAAAAAATGTCAGAAGATGGACTGTCCTGTGCAAGGAAGAGCCAGCAGGCCAGTGTCACCGGATCACAGGGTATGTGGGGGCAGGGGGCGGGTAGGGGGAGGAAGGTATAAGAACACTGGAAAGGTAAGCCTTTAAAACGCCAAACAGGATTTTATATTTGATCCTAGAAGTGATAGGGAGCCACTGGAGTTTATTGAGGGGAAGGGGGTGAGGTGGCCAGACGTTGCTTTAAGAAGATAATTTTAGGGGCAGCTACATGGCACAGTGGATAGGGCACCGGCCCTGGATTCAGGAGGACCTGAGTTCAAATCTGGCCTCAGACATTTGGCACTTACTAGCTGTGTGACCCTGGGCGAGTCACTTACCCCGGATTGCCTCCCCCCCAAAAAAGCAAAAACAGAGAGAGAGAGAGAGAGGCAGCAAGGGTGACGCTTGGGCCATGAGCCTGAGTCACTGGGAAGATGGTGGCAACACTGGTGGACAGGAATACGGAATAGAATTATCAGTCTGGTCGGGTTCAATGAAACAAACCCTGTGCTTATGCTGGGTGCCGGACACACAATGCTAGACACCACTTAGGCTCTTTTCTAAAAAGCCAACACTCCACTGGGGAAGGGCCAAGCACAGAAGCTACCATGATGCAAAGGAGAGTCAGGCAAAGTGCTTCAAGAAACCTGAGGAGGAAGGCGTTCACGTAGGCCTTGTAGAGGGGGGATAGCGTCTGAGTGAATTCTCAAAGGAAGGGAGAGACTTCAGTGGGGGGCTCTGTTCCAAGATGGAAGATGCCATGAGCAAAGGCACAGAAGGGGGAGAGGGCAAAACAAGGTCAAGAATCAGAGAGCAGTCTTGTTTGGCTGGAGCACAGTGGACGTGAAGGGGAATAGTTTGGAGCCTCATTGTCAAGGGCCTTGAATACTAGGATCAGGGGATTGTACTTAATCATGTAGGCAACAGGGAGCCACTGAAGGTCTTTGAGCAGGGGAATAACAGGATCTGGAGAGAGGAGCCTGGAGGTAAGAACACCAATCGAAAGGCTCTTATGAGATGGACGATTCTTCCTTTTGTGCTGCCTGGGGCTGTGGGGTAGTCTAGCGGACTCTTTCTTCAGGTTCCTTCCTGGCCTAGTGCTTACTTTGACGGCCTGCTTGCTTCGAGAGGAAAGCTTTGGTGTCGTGGCTAGGTGACTGTCATTCATATGTATTGGACGGCCTCAGCTGCCCTGTAGAGGTTGCAGGAAAGAAACAGGACTGGGTTGGGTTTCTGCTGACCAACATGGGGAAACTGAGGCATGTTTGTGCTGATCCTTAGGAACAGCGACTGGTGGAGGACTCCACCAGGGAGGTGAAGAAAGTGCGAAAGGCACGGAATCGGCGGATGGAGTGGAGCATGATGGCATATGACAAAGAGTTCCGACCCGACAACAGGTTCTCACCATCTCCGTATCACATGGCCTCCTCGGAAGGATCGCTCTCTCCAGATAATAGGCAGGTGTTACCTATTATTACCTACTCAGCCCTTGGTTTCCCCCTTTTCTATTGGCAAAAAGTGTACTATGTGTGATGCTAGCACACAGAAGGCGGACACCTTTCTAAAACAATCCCTTCTCCCCCTGCCAGCAAAAGATCCCAAGACCTCATCTACCTTTCCCCAGGCATAAGGCATTCATCCTTTTTAAAAAATGTTGTAAAAAAGAATTCATAATGCACTTCAAAACCAATGAAACATACAACTCCTTATGCTGAAAAACCAAGCTTCTGGTACACTACGGACACATCAGCGTCCATGTCCCTTGCCGTTCTCTGTTCATTTGGGTAAAGTCCAAATGTGTTGCTTCGTGAGATTCTTTCCACATTGGAATATTCCATTACATTGCTATCCCATTCAATCATTCACCTAAAATTTGGGCTTTCAGGGTGTTTCCTGTTCTCTGCATTGCCTATAAATGCTGCTGTTCATTTTAACATCTTTTTTTCCCCTTTATAATAACACCCAAGAGGCAGTTTGGTACAGTGGCTAGAAAGCTGGCCTTAGAGGAGAAAGAGCCGGGGTTCACAGCCCCAAGCTGGATGGATGTGAGAAAGTCACGTAACCTCTTCCTGCCCCACGCTAACTCTCTAAGATTCTAAGTGATGTGCCAGGGGACGGTGCTCCTCACCCTGATGAAATCCCACTTGCAGCCTCTCTTCCCTCTAAAAATGATCACATTCCGAGCAGATTCCCAGTGATGAGATGGTTGGGCTAAAGGGTACAATTATCTTGGTGACTCTTATTGCATACAACCAGATGCTCTCCCAATATGATCCTACTCATTTTAATTCCACCAGCAATATGTGAGGATACTAGCCACCTTTTAAAACTTCCAGGGATTGAAAATGGCTCAGTCTCCAGGAATCTGCGCAGTCCTGTTGAGGGGGTTGGGATTTATGGCAGGGAAGGGCCCTTCATCTTTGGAGGCTCTGGCAAAGTGGAAGGTGGTTATTGCCCATTGTTTTTGTCCAGACCCCCACCCTGACGTATACTCCTGTGCTCTCCAGCCCCATCTTTTTTATGGCCAAGGCAAACATAAGTGAAGCCAGATTAGAACTTCCTGGATGATCTCTAGGAACACTATGACAATAACAATACCTTGAGAGGCAGTGTGGGGCTATGGAAAGAGCTGTGTGGTTAGTGGCAATTTCCTTCTTTATAAAATGAGAGGATTAGGAAAGGTGATTTGGAGGGCCCTGTTCAGCTGGCAGTCCTATGACATGTGATCCCATGGCTCCCTCTTTGAAGCACCGCCCCTGCCCATGCTGTTGCTAGCCATCCCGTCCTTGACTCTCTTTCCCATTTGCCCCTGGCTCCCATGGTTCACACTGGGATGCGACTGTCGCTATCCATGTTTGCTCTAGGTCTTATGCATCAGACATCGGTGATCACTCCTACCCAGCCAGCCCCAACCATCCAGCCCAGCAGGTGTTGGCACCCACTCCTCATCTGCCCATGGAACACAAGGAGATCATCCTGGCCCCCAGCCAGCTCCCGGAGCTGACCTACCGGCCCACAGCCCCAGGCAGTCGGCAGAACAGCCTTGGCCGAGTCCAACAGCCTAATGTGCCGCAGCCTCCAGATCCGATACTGAATGGCCCCAGGCCTCAGCTGATGAAGGACTATGGGTAGGCTATCACGCTCTATACCTTCTACCCCGCCTTTCTCTTGTTTGGGTACGGGGACTTGGCACCAGGGAGGTCAGTGACCCAAGGGCTTATCGCACTAACCCTATGGCAGGTTGCCAGGTAGCTCCCATTCCTAAAGAGATGGTGCCTAGAGGTGAGCTCAGCTCCTTTGCGATGCAGAGTCTCATTTGTCACCATTGCTCATTCTGCACCAGGGCCTGACCTGAGCCATCCACCCACACATGGCCCAGCAGCACACAGAGGAAGGACGGCCAGGGCTAGTCCAGAGTGCCTCACTGTTTCCTCCTCCTCCAGCTGCTGACACGGAATTCTTCACTAGAATTACTGCCGCTCCTCTGACCCAAGCTGGCTTCCAGCCACATACACTGGTACTTTACCTGCTTCTTGGTACCCTTGGTACCCCCACTTTCTTGCTCAACACCCTTACACCTTCCATACAAGCAGCACCTGTTTCCCTCTCTGTCTTCCACCCCACCCCCCATCCTGATAGCCTATGAAGTAGGCAGGTCAATTATTGTTATACCCATCTGACAGATCTCCAAGGTCCCTCAGAACTTAAAGGCTATAAACCTCTGAGGCCAAGGATGGTAGGGCTCTTGTCCAAGGTCATAGAGCTAGTGAGAATCAGAGCAAACAACGGATAGAGTTCTTCTAATTCCCAGCCCTGTGTTCTGCCTGGACTGTATACTGTTGACTCCTGAGAGATCTTGGACAAGTCGCTACATTGCCATGCATATAAGCGCTTCTGTTTAGAAACTAATGATAGTTCTTTTCACCTTTGCTCTGATATTCACTTTATGTGTAATTCTCAAAAGTCATTTAACTGATCTGAGCCTCAGTTTCCTCACCTGTAGATTGGTACTAGCAATCTTTGCAGCCCATGCCTGCCTTACAGGGCTGGTATAAGGAGGGAACTTGGTAAATCCTCAGATACTGTAGAAATGGCAGGTGTTGCCATGTTTATTTTGCCCAAACCAACATTCCTTTCAGTTCAGCCTTGTTCCTGTTGGGCCCCCAGCCTTCAAGGCTAATGCTCAGTTATGTAGCAGAGGAAAGCTGGAAAACCTTCTCTGGGGCCTCCTTTGTTGCCATTGTCCCCAAGAAAGATCAAAGGCTCTAGTCCTTTGTCAGTGCCCAAAGAATATTCAAGTTATTTGGGGACTATGGACAACGTGCTGGTCTCTAGCTTCAGGGAACCTTACTGGTCCACATCTTCCAGGCCCAGTTCAAAGGGAGAGAGGTAGGTCAGCACATTGGTAGTAACTGAGCTGCCACTGGAAGGGGCCCTTGCTTGGCTCAGTCCGGGACCCCGGCCTCTGGCAGCTCAGAGTCTGGTTTGTGGTACCACCAAGAGTCCAGTGACGGAGGGAATTTGTTCACCAAGCAACTACATACAGACAGTACCTCAAAGGGCAGTAGAGAATGGCAGCCCTACCTCTGACTCCCCAGCTCTACGAAAGGTCTGCTTATGGTCTGGGGAGAGGCCCCATATAGCCCAAGGCCTCTTGAGACCTGTTGTATTGGTCCAAATATAAGCTGTACTTTCCCCCAAATATTGCTTGTATAAAACCTGTTGTTTTCAGGGTATGTATAGGTATATGTGTACATATCATGTTTTATATGATATTACACGTACACTTTTTCCACCTCCTTCAAAATAATCTCATTTTAGGGCATGGCCTGTATTTGGACAATTTTGGTCATATTTTGGGTCATATTTTATTGGTGTAGGGAACTTTCAGTGTGGAAACTCCCTCTGCCAGTACAGTGCCACTCCCCAGATCACCCCCTTGTCTGTGACTTATGGTTTCCGAGAGGACGTGCGCCGATGCCTCCTGACCCAAAGGCCAAGGTCCTCACCACCTGCCACACTGAGTAACTCCTAGGAATTCTTTTGCTCTTTCTGTTTTGAAACCTGGATTCCTTCCTAGCACCTTGACATCCTGCTTCACAAGGAGCAGGTGAGCAGGATATTTTGGGGTAAAGTTGTAATTTAGGATTGCACCCAACACATTTCTGGGTGTTGGGTACAGAATTAAGGGGCCTGTATTCAAATCCTGACTATGAGGTCTTGGGCAGATCTCGCTTCCTCTCAGCCTCAGATTCCTTATCTGTAAAATGGGGTTGGAAACATACTCGCTGCCTTACAAGGGCACATAGCAGCATATTATTAGTGGCAGATGAAGGGCTTCCATCCTTACACTCCTTGGTCCCATCATCTTCGCTATTGGCTTGTACCTCCCTCCTCTAGCTCAGCTCATTCTGCTCAAGGCTCCCCTGGAGGGGTGTGGATCTTTCCCAGACCCTCCGTGGTCCTTCCAGAGGTCAGGGGTAATATCATACAGTGCTGTAAGTGAGCCAAACTCTTTATCTACATGAATGAACCTCACTGGTTCCTCACAACAACTATTATTATTCCCCTTTTACAGATGGGTATACTAAGGTTTAGAGAGTTCGAGTGACATCCTGGAGGTCACTCAGCTAAGTAAGCTTTGCAGGGGATTGAACCCCAGCTGTCTCTGATTCTAAATCCATCACTGGAGCCCTACTGTGCTTCCTCTCTAAAGCCGATCCACCATCACCTACAGGGTACAATTTCAGAGCTGCCAGGAGGGCCTGTGTCCCTGCAAATCTCACCTTGCCTGTTGGAAGACATCTGAGATTGAGTTATTCAAGCTGCATCTCTTTAGCTGAAGTCTTTATTCCTTAGTAAAACGTCTGTCTCTCTGAGAGGAGTCATACTTGAAGCTATGGGTCATTTGTATCTTGGGAAAGGATCAGAAATTCCCTCCTACTGACCTCTCTGGGAAGAAGTGTGCTCTTTTGTAAAGTGAGGGGGACCGATGAACTCAGACATTCAGTGATTCTCTGATGGCACAGAGGGGGATGGGCATGGGGGCTCCTGGAGAGGAGGATGGGCCCCCACTAGCAGAACAGGCTGGGGCCACTGGGCCAAAGAGCAGCATTACCTAGTAGGCAATTTTTCTGGAAGAAAGGCTCTTCCAGGGAGCCTAGTCAGTGTGCTTGGGACCCCTCCTCTCTCTGGGCCTCACTTTCCTCTTCTCTGAGTCAAAGAGGTTGGATTAGATGAGCTCGAAGGACCCTTGCAGCCTTCAGAGTTTGAATCTGTGAATCCTTGGGGCTTATGTTGCTTCTTAAGGGTCAGGGACTCTGCCCTCTCTCTCCCAGTGATAAAGAACCTTAGAACGGCTGACTGAACATCATCTCAGAGACCTTCTCACTGAGCCATCGGAAAGGAACCATGACTTGTCTGGGTGCACACGGGTGGTCAAGTACTCGGATTCAAGCCCAGTTCTGATCTCCTAATCTTCTCCCTCTTCTTCTGCTTCCAGGTCCCAGCCAGTGCCCATGGCCGATTTCTTTGTACCACCTGCCCCACCACCCCCACCTCCAGTGATCCCCTCGGCCCAGACGGCTTTCGACAGCCCCATCTCTGCCCCGCCTGCTCTTGCACCTGCCGCCACTGCCACCCTGGCCCATCCTGCCTACACACCCTCCCCACCCCCAGCCCCACCCTGCCCATACTCTGTATCTCCCCCGCAGACTGGCCCCATGGGCCCTCCTGCAGCTCCTCCTCCACCCCCGCCTGGCCCCCCAATGGCCACGGCCTCCCCGGCCCACTCAGCCTCCCCGGGTGCTGTACTATCTGAACCACGGAAACCTCAGATCCCGTTGATACCGATGAGTGATGCCAGAAGTGATCTTCTTGCTGCCATTCGGAGGGGTGAGTATGATGGAGAGAAAGAGGCTGGGAAATCCAGCAATGGAGCACTGCGGCCACCATCCTGGCAACTGAGTAGAGTATGGAAAGGGAGATTTCCCAGGGACCTTAGCAGCTAATGAGATTTTTGACAACATGACCATTTTGTGGCATCTCCATTGACCGCAATTTCATCCATGTGGGCACTGTGTCCACGGACACCTTATTTTGCGGTCTTCAAGAGGTGATCGGCCAAAAAATTCATCCCTCTGTGGCCGAGTTGGTAATGTACCTCTAACCCCGCCAGGCTCTCGTGATGCCCTCACTCTAACCCTTTATAACTTGGAAACAATTTTCAAGGACCCAGGGTGGTCTCCATGCCATGGGGAGGAGACGTGAGAAGACTCTAGTGGAGTGTGGGGAATGAAAATAGCATTTGAAGGGTTACATAGCACTTGACTTACAAGCACTCTGAGGTCAGTGGTACAGTGGAAAGAGTAGTCGTGAGGGACCTGGGTTCAGGCCTATCTGTGATATTTATTAGTTATGTAACCACTTAACTTCTTTGAGACTCAGTTTCCTCATCTGTAAAATGGGCGTGCTTTCCCCCCCACATCACAAAGTTGTTATAAACAGTAAATGAGATCATGTACAGATAATGCAGCTACGGACAGCTAGGTGGCGCAGTGGATAGAGTGCTGAGCCTGGAGTCAGGAAGACCTGAGTTCAACTGTGGCCCCGGATGCACACCAGGTGTGTGACCCTGGGCAAGTCACTTAACCTCTGTCTGCCTGAGTTCCCTCATCTGTAAAATGAAGACAACAAAGGATATGAGCAGCATGGCACTTACCTCCCAGGATTGTTGTGAGGCTCACATTAGGCAACATATGTAAAGTGCCCTGCTGACCTTACCTAAGGCCCCATGTAACTGCAAATTGTCAGTGTTGTCACCTGCTTTATGAACCTTAAGGTGATGGAAATGTAAGTTGTTTAATAGTAATACTAATAGACTTGTGATCTCATCAGTGTGGCAAGCCACTTCCATTGATGCAGATGACAATCCATATTTCCTGGGGCCTTTGGGTTTGCTCTCTGAGTGCTAGCCAGGGCTGTACTCCAACCCAGATTGGAGCTTGGTAGGATGTGCCCAGGCAGAGCCTTCAAGAATCCATGGTCACTTCAACACCGTGCTGAGGCATCAGAGGAGAACCTGGGTCATTGAGGTGGGAGATGTTGGTGTTGAGCCCTAAGAGATCTGCCGTTGAGCCAGTGACCTCAGGAAAGTCACTGAACTTTTCAGCTAAAGAGGCTTGGACCAGGTGGTTTCTGAGGTCCAGTCCAGCCATGCTATTCTGAGCTTAGAAGTTCCCTTGTGGATGACCCCAGCACCTTTGAGAGTTACTGGGCAGTCCTAGGCCCTGAGTCCTTTATTCCTTCCTGGAGTCTCTGGCAATCGAGTGGCTGTCATCTGTTGGGAATGATGGGATTCAGGGGAGGTGGTGACGGGCTGGATGTGACCTACAGAAGGTGCTGAGCATCCACCTTTGCTGTTTCCCTGCAGGTATCCAGCTGCGGAAGGTGCAGGAGCAATGGGAACAGGAGGCCAAGAAGGAGCCCGTGGGCAATGACGTGGCCACCATTCTCTCCCGGCGCATTGCAGTGGAGTACAGCGAGTCGGATGATGACTCCGAGCTGGATGAGAATGAGTGGTCAGACTAAGGGGACGCTGGGCCGGGCCGGGCTGGGCCGAGCCACGCCAGGCGGGCCACTGAGCGTTCTAGTGCGGCTCCCTCCCTCTACCCTCTTGCCTCCCCCCTAGCCAGCCCTGCCCTGCTCTGCCCTGCCCCCACCCTGAGTTCCCTCCCAACAAAGGTTCCCTTCCTGCCCGCCCTCCCCCCCGTCCCCCACCCGCACCCCTACCCCTGCCTGGGCTTCTGCTCCAGTATGGGGGTAGGCAGCAGGGGTGGGGAGTGGGGGGAGGAGAGCTTTTGAAAAATAGATTTTCATCTCTTTGGGCTGATTTAGATATGGTCCTATGTGTAGGCAGGGAAATGAATTAGATGGCTGCTTAAGATTCCCTTCAGCTCATGGCTTTTTGGAGAAGGGGGCAGCTCAGCTTGGCATGTTTGAGCTAATGGGAGAAGGCATTTTCTCACCCTGGCACCCCATCTCCAGCTCTCCCCACAGTTCTGTGGAGAAACTTCTTGTCCAGAGAGGCCTGTTGGGCCCAGCTGTTTATGGAAACAGCTTCTGCCTGGGAGCACAGGGTACTTCTCCAGAGAGTAGCATGTGTGACGTGGTCCTTGTGTTCTGAGCCCTCGGGGGTCACCAGGGTCCTTTCTGCACAGCCCTGGGAATGAAGAGATGTCCCCAGGCAGGCACCAAGCAGACATCAGAGAGCATGCCACCTTGCTTATGCCCAAGGAGGCAGGTGTGGTGTAGGGGGGAAGGACGTCGGAGTAGAGGCTTATGTATGTCCACAGGTAGTCAGCCTGTTGGCTGACTTGGAAACGACAGGACCTGTGTTCAAATCCCTGTTCTGACACTTCCTAGTTGGGCAGTCTAGTCAAAATTCCTTCCCTTCTTTGGACTTCAGTCTTATCATCTGTAAAATTAGGGGTTTGGATCAGATGACTTGGTCACTTCTAAGTCAAGGCCTAGGCTTCTATGGATGGATTCTTTACTTAGTAGGTCATCCTTTTGGGGGGGGGGGAGGGAGAACTGAGTAATTAGATTTTGTCTGTGTAGGGAACTCCCAGTGTGTAAATTCTGTCCCCTGAGGCAGAGTGGCACCTCATCTGTAACTTCCAGTTTGAGAGAATTGCCCAAAGCACTGAGAGCGGCCTGGACGTGGCAGAGACAGGACCTGATATGCCTTGTCCATAACCAAGGCCAGAGGTAGGAATGCAGAGTGTAACTGGGAAAAGAGTCGCCGTGGAGGCTTATACTGCCAAGGGTGCCTGCTGCCTGGGCCTCCCAGAGGGGAAGATGGCAGCCTTCAGTGGGTCTGGGCAGTGTCTGTTGATGGCCACCTTAGGGCTGGCTCCTACCCTCTGGGTGCTGCTGTCTAGTCCCTGTGGTAGCCCAGTACAGCCAGAGAACAGAGGCCCCAGGAAGGAGGGCGGCTGAGAGCCCCGCCCTTCTCAGGCCTGGCCACTTCAGTTCCAGTCAGCAAGTGTCTAGGAAGCACCAGCCATGTACCTACCACACACTGCCCTAAGCCCTGAGGAGACAGATAGAAGAGTGAGACGGTCCCTGCCCACAAAGAGCTTCAGTTCCATTAGGGGAGGGCTATAACATACACAGATAAGTTAATACAGAGTAATTGGGGAGCAAAGAGGGAGCACTTGCAAATGGGAGGGGGGGCAGGAAAGACTTCCTGTAGGCTGCAGCACCTGATCTGAGCCTGGAAGGAAGCTACGGGTTCGAAAGAGGTGGAGGTGAGGAGCGAGGGTGTTCCAGATATGGAGGGAGCACAGAAAGAGGACCGAGGAGGCCAGTCTGGCCCGTCAGATTGTCTTCTGGGATCCTCACTTGAAGAAGGCCATTGGCCATTCATTGGCCAGCTGAAGCTGTCCTGAGGGGAGCACCAGGAGGGCAGAGGAACCAAGGCTGGTGAGACTGGAGCAGTGGGGGCGGGGGGAGTGACAGAGGCAGCTTGTAGAATGGGTGGGACTGGCCTTAGGATGAGCCGGCAAGGCGGGGAGGGTGCTGTATCTATCTGGCTGTCCTAGGAGTCCCCGCCTCCCACACACATACACGCTTCCCCAGAGATACCTGGAAAGAGCTTGGGGGAGCCCTTTCTCGGCCTTTCCCTCTGGCCTCTGGCCATCCAGGACTAGGATGGGGCTGGGATGCTCTCAGTGGCTCTGTAGGCATAGGCTCATGGCATGTGGGGCTGCAAGGGCCTTAGAGATCACTTCGTGCAAGCTTAGAGAGAGGAGGTAACTTGACCAATGTACCACATGTAATAAATAGCAGAGACAGGATGAAGATAAGGTCCCCTTGCTCCAAACTGAGTGCTCTGTCTGCTGTACGTGTCTGCCTGAGAGAGGGAGCCAGCCAACACTCCCCACCTCTTAGCAGCACATGGGCCTAGTCATATCATGACCGCTGAGTGGCCATGTGCCCAAGTGTGAGTGTGAGATGTTTCCTCTGTGTCCCCAAGAGTGTCAGGATTGGGCTTTTCAGGGACTATGAGGCCAAGATCATTTGAATCAGACCAGGCTAGGTTTGGGGAGTGCTTTCGTTTCTGCTTATAAAAATCGAGTCTCCAGAATGGAAGGGAGCACCAGGCCCACCCAGCCCCTAAGCCACAATCCCCTTGCTAACATCCCCACAGGGGATGCCAATGTCTGCCCTCCAGTGACAGGGAACTCCGTAAGGCGGGTTCCACTTTGGGACAACTCTAATTGTTAGGAAATGTTTCCTTCTGTGGAGTAGGTGGGGGAGGAGCAGGGGAATGGCAGCATCCAGAAGACCTGAGTTCAAATTCCACTTCCTAGCTGTGGGGCCCTGAGGACTCCCCCTCTGGAGCCTCAGTTACCTCCATTGTGAAACGAGGGGGTTACACTTGATGGCCTCAAAGGCCCTTCCAGCTGGAAATCTCTGCTCCTGTAATGTCCTTTCACTGTCTCCTGGCCTGGCTTGGAGCATGGGACCTTAACAAGCAGAGTAACCTCTCTACACCTCAGTTTCCTCATGTATCATTTGATGTTTTGCCTGGCAGGACCCTTTAGGCCACTGCTATCCCTGCTAGGCCCTGCTAACTCTGAGAGGATGAGAAAGTGCCCTTCTCCCCCTCCCTACACCTCCCCCCATCTTTATCTCCTCCCATCATCCCGCAAGCATGTACTATGGCTCCTAAGCCTGCAGACAGAGTTCTCTCAGAACATGTCCCAGAGTCCCCCAAGCCTGCTGTGCTTCGTGCAGACAAGTATGGCTGGTGGCCGGTCCCCACTACTGCTTGGGCTTAAGCAGGCCATGTAGCCATTCCCCAAGCTGGGGTGTTTGGGCTCCTGGGTGCTCAAAGCCAACAGAGACTTAGATGTACTTTCGAGCTGGAATGACCCCAAGCCTCCAGCCCAGGCTACAGCAGTGGCCTGGCCAGCCCCTGAGGACATGGGAACCCACACTTTGGGAATAAAGGGGCTTCAATGGAGGTAGCTGCCCAGCCCCCGATGCCCCCAATGCCTGATGGCCCAGAAAGGCCGTAGAGGAGCTGCAGTTGACTCTCTCACAGCCTGGGGGGCCCTCAGCCCAGGATCAGTTGGGAACTTGCAATGAACACCTTGGCCAGAAGAAATGGGCAGCTAAAAGAGCCAGGATCCCAGCCTGCCCCACCATGGGACCACAGTCCTCATGTTTTTCTTTTCCCAAACACCCCCAATCTACTTTTTGTAAGCTACTTCCTTATCGCTTTTAGAAATGAATGTTCAAAGTTTGTTGCACAGAGAATGGGTAGAGAGAATTAGCTAGGTTCCCAGTTCCTCCTCCCTCCCCCATGGATGGTTTGACGGAAATGGGCACCCTACAGACCCCAGAGTGTACCCGAATCAAAGGCAATGATGGAGCTGTCTGTCAGGGACCTTAGAGCACAGAACATAAGACTGCGAGAGCTGGGAGGAACCTTAGAACATAGAATATAAAGGATGTAATGGAGCCTAGGATATAGAATGTCAATACTGGAAGTGACCTTAGAACACAGAATGTCAAAGGTACCATAGGACATGGAGTGTCAAAGCTGGGAAGGACCTTAGAACATGGAATTTCTGAAGGGGAAGGAACCTTAGAACAAATAACGTCAAGGCCAGGAGGGGCCTTAGAACCCAGAATGTCAGAACTCTCAGAACAAGGCCTCCAGAAATGGGACTGAGGGTCTGGGCCTAAAGCAGGGGTGTGAGCACCAGGAGGAAGATGAAGAGTCTCAAAGGGGAAGCCAGAGTCTCACAGAATCTTGGTACCTCAGAGATCTCTGTCTGCGCAGGACCCCTTCCTGCCAGGATACTTCCTCTGCTCCCCCAGTGTCTAGCTATCATCTGAACCTCAGAGTACCAGGGCTTGGGCCCAGCCTTCCTTTTGAGCATCTGGTCAGAGTCCCAGCATCCCTCCCATACTTAGCACTCTAGCAGAAGTTGGGGTCATCCATTCTCCAAGGCCAGATGCTAACAGATGACTGCCTTGTAGGCCAGCCTCCCACACCCCCAGGAGCTGAGCCTAACTGCACTGTCCAAGCCAGGAAACTGATGCTGCCAAGACAGAGAGGGCAAAACGGAAGTGTGGCAGTGTCTTGGCCTACAGATAAAGGCTTTGGGCATAGGTGCATATGGGCAGCACCATGGAAAGCTAACCGAGCTCTGTGACCTTGGGCGAGTCACTTCCTGTCCTTGGGCTTGCAGCTCTTCTCTGATGGCCCCTCTAGCTCTAAATTCTGCCTCTTCCTCCTACCCCCAGTCCCTTTTGCTGCTTTGCATGAGCTTGGCCTCATATTTGTACTTCTTTATCTTCATGTGGCCTCCTCAGGCTTGCTGGTGGGGAGCAGGAGTGGTGCTTCGAAAGACCCAAACTTTGCTATTGACAACTATCACGCCTCCTGTTGTGTGAGTTGGGCCTCTCTTGGCTCTGACACATGTGGAAAAAAAATGGAATTCAGGTTAGAGCCAGCCTCTCCATCCCAGGAAGGAAGGGGGTGGTGTTTCCCTGCCCAGACTGGTATGGCTCTAGGGGCACTGAGCGTCTTGTCAGCTACTAAATTGTTTTTGGACAAGTAGACAACTTACACGTATATCATTCAGGTCTGCTCCACCCATATTCAAGAAGAACAGCCTTCTGGGACCCCTAGATAAGTGAGCAACTGTTCCACTCTCCCCACTCTCTCTCCCATGCCTGGTGTGCATGAAAGAAGTCTAAAGTACAGGGAGGGTGGGCATGACTGGCTTCAGGCTGAAGCAGTGGCTCAGAGAAGGCTTCCTGGACACCAGAGCTGGGCCTTGAGGACCAGCCCCCCAAATTCCCCAAGCAGTGACATGAGGGCAGCCTCTCTGGCCAGACTGGGCTTTGTGCGCCCAGTGGATTTGCCCGTGCATCTGCTTGGGTGGCCCCCTCCCTTGGGATGGATCCTGATTCCATGGTTTCCATCTCTCTCCCTGGCACAGGGAATTGAACCATCCATGTCTCCTGCCTGTGGACTTTGGCCATGTCCCTTCACCTCCCTGTGACACATTTTCTTCATCTGTAAATGAGGGTGTGGAACTAGGTGATGTCTCTACAGCTCATGATCCCTTGCAAAGCCACCTGACCCATTCAAATTACTTGGGATCTGTGGTCTAAAAGGCAGGAAAAAAACAACCAATCCAGCTGTTTTTTCACTAGGCCATCTCCATCTGCTCAATCTTACTGATCCTTCAAGCCATGTTGGCCAAGAAACTGTCCCCTTCACCCTCACAGCCAACCAGCTAGAAGTGATCTCATAGCACTTGATTCTCACCTATGTACACAGCGTACTCTAACTTGTATTAGTTATCTGTGTTTTGTCTTGCCCCTTCCAACTAGAATGGGAGCTCCTTGAAGGCAGGGCACCTGAAGCACCCAGCACAAAGCTTTTCGCTTAGAAGGTGCTATAAAGGTGAGTGGGAGAAAGGAGGTAAGTCTGACTAGGAGTGACAATGTGAGAACGTGAAAGGGTCAGAATTGTTCTGTTGAGAGCAGCCAAGGTTAGTTTCTGAGCAGTAGCTTGGTACGGAGTGGGAAGAGGGAGAGGGTAGAGTTGAGCCTTGGCCTCAGAGCAGTCTAAAGGACTTTAGAAGTCACCTAGTCCTTTTACCCTTTCATGTTACAGTTCAGAAAACTGAGCAGAGCCCAAGGGCACTGTGGGAGTGACGGACCTAGGTTCCCATTTGCCTGGCACTTTCACAGCTTCCTGCTAATCTTATCCTCACCAGGGGCACACTGGGAAGCCCTCCGAGCTCCATTTTTACAGAGGAGAACTCAGGTCCAGAGCGGAAAGTGCCACAGTAACCCAAGTTGGCAACAAGGGCAGTGGCAGGAATGTAGGGTCCCGGCCCTTTATTCAGGGTTCTTTCTGGGCTCCACTGAATGCATGTGATCTTACACACACACACACATACACACACACACAATCACATCTCTGGATGGATTGGGCCATGGCTATGGCCTGGAGCTGGCAAGTGGTGAAGAACCCCTTTTGACCTGTGGGAGGGTGGCTCAAAAGGCTATCAGAGCTTTGGAGAGGGAAGTAAGCTTAGCAGCAGTTGGTGAGAAGAGATCCTTCAAACCCCCTCCCCCCATTCCCACTCCACCAGGCCCTCCACCACCTCCTATTAAAACCAGTCTTTCCTTCCCCCTGCCCCCCCCAAAAAAAAATCTCCTTTCCTTCCGTGGAGACTTTCCAAGCTGGCTTGGCCTACAGGTAGGAAAGAGTGGTGGTACTGTCCCCCTGCAGTTCTGTGGAAGCCCTCACTTCTCCTGAATTCCCCCTGCTCTCTCTATGCACCAAGACTGAGAGGACATGTACCCGCACCCTCCCAGCCAGACCTGGGCACCGGCACATTGGTGCCTCCTGCCTGCCTCGAAGGTTCCACTTTCTGAGAGTGGTGAGTCCAGGCTGGCCTTGGTTTCAGTCGGGGTGGCTGCCTGTCCAGAGAGAACCCCGTGGGCTTCAAACTTGTGAATTTGCACACGCTTCAAGCTATTTGATGATTGATCCGCATTATTCTCAAGCTAATGTTTAAAAAGCCATCCCGCATCAGGCGGGATCGAAGCCCTTTGCATTTAGTCAATAGATGTTGCTGCCTGTATCTACCCACTGTGCGCAGTTTGCTCAGTGTGAGCAAGTGTGTCTTACCCAGTGTTGTGGGTTCTGCTTGCCTTGATGTGGACCCCAGAAGGTACCAGCTGAATGGTTGCTAAGCAAGCTCCCCTCAGTGAGAGGGAAGAGAGCAGCTTTTCAAGACCTGTGTGTGAACTACATTTGTGAGCAACATATATCCGACCTAATCTCCCAAACTGCTGACACTTTATGCATGTGGTAATAAAAAGACCAATAAAGATTGGCTTTGTGTGGGCCTCTGCCAAGTCTCTGTGATGTGTGGTTGGTTTGTGTGTCTGGAGGGAGGGAAGAGGGTGGGGAAGGGATGGTAATGCTGGATCACAACAAGAGCATCAGACAGCCCTTGGACCTGGCCAAGTCAAGCGCTATCCAAAGCAGGAAGCCCCTCTGGGATGACCTTGACGAAGGATCCTGCAACCTCTCTGCAGCAGATGCACAATCCTCGGTCTGCCACTACATGAACTCACTAGTCCCGTGACCTCTGATCTTAAGAACAGACTCAGTGCCCTGCTAAAAGGTACTAACCTGTTCCACTTTTGGATGGCCTTAATTGTCAGAAAAGTTCCCCTCATATCAAGCCCAAATCGGCCTTTTTGTGATTCCTACCCATTGTTCAGAGATTCATAGAGCGTTCGAGCTAGAAATAACTTTAGAGACCTAGTCCTATCCCCTTATTTCAGAGAAGAAGCAACTGCGTCCCAAACCGGGGAACAGCCTGCCCAAGGTAGCAAGAGGCAGGTCTAGGATGTGAACCTTAAGCTAGAAGTGGGACCCTAGAAATAAAAGACTTTTATAACTACAAAGAGCCTCAGAACATAGAATGTCAAAAGGAGGGGGACCTTGGAAAACAGTCCATGGGATGTTACCAACTGGGAGGAAATTTAGAATATAGGATGAGAGAGCTAAACGGAACTTTGAAAAATAGACTGTAGATAAAGAAACAAGAAGTGACCTAAGAAACAATGACTATAAACACTACTGAGCAGAATGGGAAGACGTATGACCTGATGCAGAGTGAAGTGAGCAGAACCAGAAAAACAATATGCACAATAGCCACAACAACGCACAGGGGGAAGCAAAACGAAATCTAAACTGACTCATACGTACTTACAACGGCCAAGCATGGCTGCAAGAGAAGAGATGAGAAAATCACCTCTTTCACTGCAGAGCGTGTGGAACATCACATGTACTGCCTAACTCATTTTATATATGGCTTAGTTTTGCTTTTTTTAAGTTTTTTTGGTAACTCTTTGCAATAGGGGGAGGCTTTCTGGATAGGGAAAAAGGATATATTTGAAAATGAAGGTGACCAGAAAAATCAAGAAAAAACTTTTTTAAAGAAAATATGGCATAGAATGTTACAACTAGAAGAGAAACAGAACGAGGCAGCAAGTTGGTGAAGTGGATCAAGTGCTTGGTCTGGAGTCAGAAAGACCCGAGTTTGAATCTAGCCTCAGTCACTTACTAGCTATGTGACCCTGGGCAAGCCATTTAACCCCTGTTTGCCTCAGTTTCCTCAGCTTTAAAATGGGGATAGTAATAACACCTACCTCCCAGGGATGTTGTAAGGATAAAATGAGATATTTGTAAAGTGCTTTGCGAAACTTAAAGTGCTATATAAATGTTAGCTTTTAATCAAAATAGAATGTTAGAGCTAGAAAGAGTCTTATCAATCTATGTCAACTCACTCTTCTTACAGAGAAGGAAATCTCAGCCTGCAAAGGGGAAATGGTCTGCCCCAGCTCAGCCAGGGAGTTAATGAGCCAATCGGCAGAATCAAGTTCTCCACAATTCTGCTCCCATGCCCTTTCCAGAGAAGACCCTAGCACGATGACAAAATGTGTCCGAGAAAAGTGGATTTGGGGAACAAGAGTGAGAACTTTGCAGTTTTGCCTGGAACCCCATTATTTAAATGTGGCAATGCATACATGTGGCAGTGATGAGCTGTTCTTCCTGTCTTATCTGCAAGAAGAACTTGGGCTATCTAAAAGAACTTTCCATGGCCATAAGGGGCATCTAAAAACTGAGTGCCTAAAAACTTTGAAATATCCCTCTTAGAAGTAAGAAAATGCAGTGAGATTCCCAGGCTGTCACCAGCATTTCCACTTTCTAGTAGAAAAGTCCTCCTGCCACTGCTTTTCTGGCAAGACCCCGATCACAGTCCTAAAATGACAGCACTCCCCCAGAACTGGGAGGACGAGCAACAAGAGATCCAAATAGCTGTGTCCTTCAATCCACCCAAACGGGACAATGCCATCAAAAGAATTGGCATCTGGCAGGAATTAAGCTGATTTGGCTGGGAAATGAGAGGCTTGGACTTGATCTCAAATGTTCTGAGTTCTAAGATCTAGTTCTAATATACTCTGTTCTAAAGTTCCGCCACTAATTCTAACCCCCTTTTCTTTTAAGGTCTTCCCCATATCTGACATTCTGTGTTCTGGGATCCATTCCAGTTTTAACTTCCTACATTCTAGAGTCCCTTCCATTTCTGACATTCTGTGTTTGAAACTAATGGCCTGTTCTAAGTTCCTTTCCAGTTCTGACCTGGTTTGTTTCAAGGTCCTTCCCAGCTCTAACATCCTCTGTTCTAAACTCCCTTAACAGTTGTTACTATTCTAAGGTCCTTTCCAACTCTGACATTCTATGTTCTTTGTTCAACTGAAGTCTCTAAGGTTCTGCCCATTTTTATGTTCTCCGGTTCTCTAGCTACCCAGACATGTTCTCCAGCACTTACAGGTTACCCCATAATGCTATAACTTGCTATACATAAGGAAATGTGTCCGGGCTGAGCCGCTCCATCTGACTAGGGCTCCTCAGTAAATACTAATTTGGTCAATTTTACATATTCCTTCTTGTGATGAAGCCTAGGAAGGCTAGAAAAAGGTGATAGTATGTGCCACAGGCACCCTTCTGAGTCCGTGAGGCTGTTCCCAACACGCAGTGTTATCACCCAAAGTTGGGACAGCATTGGGGGTTAAGGAGCCTGACTACCCAGGTCACTGGAGGAAGAAATGGGTGTGAACTCACCTGGCTGCCTTGCCAGCATCTGAAACTTGGAGATAAAAGCCAAAATTAGAGACAACAAGAACAACAATAATAATAGTGGCCACGGATGTTGCTGCCCAAGGCTGTCCTCCAGGAGGCTGTTTGTAGGAGTGCATCAGAGACCCCCATCGTGGTCCCATCTCCAGTGACGCTGGCAGACATGGGAGGAAGGATAGGAGGGCTACCAAACAGCCAGTCTAGGGGCAGCTAGGTGGCTCAGTGGATACAGCACCGGCCCTGAAGTCAGGAGGACCTGAATTCAAATCTGGCCTCAGACCAAACACTCAACACTTACTAGCTCTGTGACCCTGGGCAAGTCACTTAACCCCAATTGCCTAAAAAATAAACAAAGAAAAACCAACCTGTCTGCCTGAAGGTAGCTGAACTTGCTAACCATTAAAAATTCAATTTCCATCCCTCCTCTGGGCCTCTGCAAGCAAGTAAGGGAAAATGTATGTAGCTTTGGAGGCTCTCCCTGAGAGGCAAAGCTTGAATGGGAAGAATCCACCTGGTGCCCCTTGTTCTGGCTGGATGACCAAGTTTCACGCTGTCCTCTGCGTGAGGCAGGCCTGCCTGCCCTCCAGAAGTGATCTTTCTTGGGTTTTTTTTTTCATTTTGTTCACTTGTTTTCAGTCACCTCTGCCTCTTTGTAACCCCATTTGAGGTTTTCTTAGCAAAGATACTGGAGTGGTTTGCCATTTCTTTCTCCACCTCATTGTATAGATGAGGAAACTGAGGCGAACAGGGTGAAGTGTCTTGCCCAGGGCACACAGCTAGTGTCTGAGGCCGGATTTGAACTCAGGAAGACGAGCCTTCCTGATTCCAGGCCCAACACTCTGTTTGCTACACCACATGACTGCTCCTATTTTTTGGTTCACTAGTTTTCAGTCACATCTGACTCATCATGACCTTTTTGGGGTATCTTTCTGCCCTTCACCCTATTGGTCAGGAGCTCCTACCTCCCCAGGTGTACCCCACTGGACGTGGTTGCCCAGAGCCGCGCTTGGATTCTGAATTGAAGGGAATTCTTTGACATTAAAAACCAGCTTTGAATTGGTAAAAGGGGTTTATTTTTTTTTTTTGTCTTTAAATGCTATTACTTGAACAATACTTATCCATTTTGTCTATGAAGACATCTGAATAGCTTAACAATTTATCTACTATCACTCAACATGAAAGATTCATTTGGAGAAGTCAGAAAGAATCCAAAATACAACAACATAACAACAAATACAACTGTTACAAGCAAATATCTGCCACCATATGGTGGATATGATCTTATTATCACATTCAGTAGCAGTTAACACTTAAGTTGTTCTTTGTTTTTTGTTTGTTTTTTACCGTCAAGCACTAATGACAACATGAAGAACAGTAAACTCCTGGCTTTAGAAATTGAGGCTCCTTTCTTTTTCCAAACTTTAAAGACATCTGAACTGGCTGACTGTGGAAAGATGGCAGGGCAAGAAAGACTTGCTCTCTTTTCCACACCAAAAAAAAAAAAATCCTAAAATGATGGAATCCTTTGGGGAGGATGGCGTTGGTCCCCAAAGCTGGAATGATCAGTTGACACTAGGTCCATTCCAACTCTTTGCCCAAGGCCTAAAACTCATTTTTTAAAAAAAGCCAGTTCAACCCTCGACAGAAAGGGGAGCCAAGTGTCGCCAGGACCTTATTCAGGAAATGCAAAGGGAAACGCATTGACCAGCTCGCCAGATTCATCCTCCAGCTTGTTATAAACCCACTTGCGATTCCGGCGGCACTTGACTCCACATTTCCTGGAGTTGCACCTGGGGCATGGGTAGAAGCAGCCGGCACAATCAACCTGCAGGCAGTCACACAGATCGATACCATTACAGATCAGCCTGCCTTTCCGGTCATACTTTCTCCTGTTTTTCTTGGGCCCCATGAATATTTTGGGGTGGTAAGAAAACACATCAGACCTCTGCCTAGGTGCTGGGCCAGGGTTTGCAGCAGCTCCCTGGGGCTCCTCTTCCTCCTGGATTTCAGAATCGGCAACTGCTGCCTGGGATACTGCATTTCTCCCCTTGGAGGACACACCTGCTGCTTCCTTCTCTGCCCTCTCATCAACTTCCTCTTGGTTGGTATCGGACTCTTCACTGCGCATGTCAACGTCTCCACTCATTTTCGATAATTGGTTGCAGGATCCTTCTCCTCTCTGCTTTGGGGTAAGCTCCTGGATCTTAAGAATGATAGTACAGAACACGTCATCACTAAAAGTACATGAGTGTGACGTAAAAGCTGATTCAGAGGCTGCTAATGCCACAAACTGAGGAAAAACAACATTTGAAAGATTATTTTAATTTTTAAAACATTGCTATGTCTCCTGTGAAAATTCAACAGAACCATCATCATGAGCTGGACATTAGTTGATTTTCAAACTTTCTAAAAACTCTCATCAGCTGATGATCAATGATTGAAAAGACTCCACGTGCAATCCTAGCCTGAAGATAATGCAAAGAGCAAAGTTTTGATGCATATGGGACAGCTTTCACATGGCCCCACAAGAAAAAAAAAATTAGCAGAGCTAGATCAGGTGATCAAAGTGTCAAAGGAAGAGAATCCCCTTTACTATCCACAGCTCTGAGAAAGAAGCATCCATAATATGTTAAATGCAATTCGAGGTTACAGGATGCTCTCATCACGTCAAAATTTGGATGAAAAATTTGTTATTCAAACTTCACAAAACAAAATGAGTGTAAAAGAAACTTTAAAATATCAAGGTTTTTTTTTTACAATTGGTAGCATTTATGCATCTGAAGTTATTAGAGCTTAAATCTGCACCAAGATCTTTGGGACGGCCTGCATGGAGCCAAAAGGAGACTCTGAGATTTTTCTGCTAGCAGAAGGGACAGAACCAGAAAGAAGACTGTGTACATATATGTGCATGCCAACCCATCTCTATAAACATGGGCAGAACATGAGAGGAGAGCATTGCCCTGAGCCAAGTGCTTCCTTTTCCACTAAGAAATCATTGGGGTTTTCGTAGTGAGAAGTTAGGGGTCAAGGAGAGGGAAGGGTGGTGTCTCATCCCCAACTTACAGAGGGCAGTCACGAGTCCCTGGGGTGCTGGTTCTGCACTGTTAGGCTCACAGAAGGGGCAGCCACTTGATGTGCAGGCGATGATCCAGAAAGAGGCCTCTTTGGGTGGGAAGAGGAATGGGTTTTCACCAGGGCCTAGGTACCAAACAGAAGTTTGACTCAGAAACACAAATACAGGAGGGAAAAACTGGGAGCAAGCAGGCAGGCTTGATTGTTAGGGTGACGTTTCCTGCAAGTCAGTGCAGCTTTCCTTTCTGTGTCCAGGCAGCCCCCTCTTTGTAGGCCCAGGCATCCCCCCCAGTCACCTGTACCCAAGCGATGGCCCTCCTTCAGGGCCGGAAGCCTCTGCCCGCTCATCCCCTGGGTCCTAAGGAAGATGCCACGTGGGCAGTGACTGAGGGAGGCGGCAGAGGCAAGGAGGACAAGGAGAAATCTCTGCCAGGGAGTGTTTAAATTGTTTTAAATGGCCAAGTCTGGCCTGGAAGGATGGGCCCTCTCCTGGATACTTGGGGTGGGGGGAGGCCTGGTGGTGTGGCCATTGTGGGGGGGTCATCCAGAAGACCCACCTGTCCTCCAGGTCACCATCTGGCCTGCCACTTGACCTATTTAATTCTTACCTTCACCAGCTCTGGGATAAAAACCAGGCTCTTCATTAACTAACACCTTCTTCACTTAGTCTCCATGAATCAGCTAAGCTCAAAATTCCCTCATCAAATATTATATTAGTTATTATATCATATCGAACATATCAAATACCCTGCAGAAATCACCCCTCCCCATTTCTGATTGGTCAAAGGCCCCCAGGGCCACGGGGTAAAGGCCTCAGCAGGCCTAGGAGGCCCGAGGCAGCACCTCGCACTCAGACCCCTGAGGAAACACAGCCATAGTGGCTTCAGTGCCTCCAGAAGCTCCTTCTGGGGCCCTGCCCCCCCACACCCCAGACCCTTGCCCTCCCACTTAGAGGCTGGAGAAGGATCAGAAATGAGGCCTACCTCTCTCAGGAGACCCTCAGACACACCCTGCCTCCAGGTCTCCCAAGGACAGAAAGGGAGGAGCCTGCTCTGCCCCTAGGCATGAAGGGATGCAGGTCAAGGCACAGGAAGGGGCGGAGAGAGTGGGAGGGGAGGGTCAGAGGGTCACCCACAGGGAGGGAGAGGAGCACAGGGGGAGGAGCAGAGAAGGCCTGAGGTGCTGCTCTGCCCCCTAGGGGATGCAGGAGAGGGCACAGGAAGGGGCGGAGAGAGGGGGAGGGGAGGGTCAGAGGGTCACCTACAGGGAGGGAGAGGAGCACAGGGGGAGGAGCAGAGAAGGCCTGAGGTGCTGCTCTGCCCCCTAGGGGATGCAGGAGAGGGCACAGGAAGGGGCGGAGAGAGGGGGAGGGGAGGGTCAGAGGGTCACCTACAGGGAGGGAGAGGAGCACAGGGGGAGGAGCAGAGAGGGCCTGAGGTGCTGCTCTGCCCCCTAGGGGATGCAGGAGAGGGCACAGGAAGGGGTGGAGAGAGAGGGAGGGTAGGGCCAGAGGGGCACCCACAGGGAGGGAGAGGAGCAGAGGGGGAGGAGCAGAGAGGGCCTGAGGTGCTGCTCTGCCCCCTAGGGGATGCAGGAGGAGGGCACAGGAAGGTGGAGAGAGAGGGAGGGAGGGCCAGAGGGCACCCACAGGAGGGAGAGAGCAGAGGGGAGGAGCAGAGAGGGTCAAAGGTGCTGCTCTGCCCCAGCAGGGGCAAGATGGAGTTAGGCTGGAAGGGGCCTCACAAAGTCATCTAGGAAAACCTCCTCCTTTTACAGGGGAGGAAATTGAGGATTATGGAGGGGAAAGGGCTTTCTCATGGTCATGCATAAGATCATAGATCTAGCTCCCAAAGCGGGTGATACTGCCCCCTTGGGGGCTCTGGAACGATCCAGGGGGATGGTAGTAGAATAGGATGCAATTGGGGGCACTGAATAAAAATAAGGGGGAGTGGAAACATAAAGAAAGAAGACAAGTAAATTGTTTTAGTTTTTGTTTGTTTATGAGGTAATTGGGGTTAAGTGACTTGCCCAGAGTCACACAGCTAGTGAGTGTTATGTGTCTGAGGCCAGGTTTGCAGATCCTCCTGACTCCAAGGACGGTCCTCTATCTACTGCGCCACCTGCCTGCCCCAAGAAGACAATTTTGAAAAACCACTGGAACATGTTTCATCTGCTGTGTAACAGAGTTAAAGTCATAGTGATTACATTATTTTCCAAATACACACAAAAAATGCAAGTTGTAACTGATTGGCAGTCAAGTCCACTGACAGGTGTGAACAAGCAAGTGTTGGCAGGCGAGGATGTTGAACAAAGTGAGGAAGTCCAGCAGGCATCTCAGGAATATGTGTATTCAATGACTTGTTTACAACATACTATATGGTTATATGGCACAATATGCATCACCAAAATTTCAATGCAGGGAAAAAACCATGAATTTAAAATGAATTATTAAATTTACAATGCATCATGTTTTTAGAATTTTTTTTTTTTTTTGAAATGATGCAAATTTAAAAAATGTAAAGTTAAGAAAATAGATTTCCAGGGGGCGCTGAGCTTTTTTTTTTTGAAAAGGGGGCAGTAAGCCAAATAATTTTGGAAACACCTGATGAAGAACTTGACCAGACCTAATTGTCATCTTTTAAACCCCTTCATTTTACAGAGCAGGAAAGTGAGGTCTAGAGAGGTCAAATGATGACCTATGGTCATCAGGCAATTATGCAGAGACAGATGGAATACATTTTTAGTAACGAGAGGACAGCGACAGAGAGGCAGAGACAGGGACAGAGAGAGAGACAGAGACAGACAAAGAGGGAGAGACAGACAGACAGAGAGACACACACACACAGAGCCTGTTAGAGAATTGATGATGCCTGCCTCTCCACTCCTCCAAACTGGGAATCCCTTCACACTGAATACATGTAGCTGCAGCCTCAGCTGTGGGCCAGAGGTGAGGGCCACAGGGCTCACTCGCCCTTTAAAACGAGATTGAAAAATTTTCTTTAAAAAAAAGGGAGAGAAATTGGACTGGGATGAAGGAGCCCTCGCCTGTTTGCACAGAAGCCACCTCCTCCACTCAGTGGCACAGCCCTTGCTAGATGCTCTCCCATCTATGTACTTATTAACAAGCTCTCCCTCAGTGCTGCCAGGCTGCCACACACTGAACTAGGGACCAAGATCCCCATACAGAAGGGACACAGGACCTGCCCCCAAGGCCCTCCCATTCTCCCGTGGGGATGCTCTGGCAAAGAGAAATGAAGACAAACATTCCTCCCTGCACTCCTCCTCTGGGGAAGGGAGGAGGCCACTTTGGGAGCCTCCTCCTGTCCAGGTAACAGGGGCACAACTGGTAGTTACTCTCTTGGGAGCATGAACACACGCCTGGGTGTTTGGCCCCTTTCTGTCCCCAACGGTTGGGTGACATTGGGCAGCACATTGACCTTGTAAATGTTTTAATGAGCCTCAGTTTCCTCACCTTTCAAATGAGAGCCTTAGCCTACGAAAGGAGCCCTTCTGGCTATAAAATGCCATCGCTTCTGAACACAAGTTTACTCTTTTAAATGACACAACTTTATAGTCGTATCTTCTCTTTGGTAATCAATTAAGTCTGTCTTCTTTTCTATCATCAATCAGCAAGTCCTCATGAAGCACCTACTGTGTTCCAGGCACTGTGCTGAGCTCTGGTATTGCAGAGGACACAATCCCTACTCACAGGGAGATGACATTCCAATAGGGATGAGAAAATACTTAATAATAATAATAATAATACTATCCACAGTATAACTACAAAGAGTATAAATACATAAATATACATACATACATATACAGTAGTTGGGGAAAGGGGCACTCGCAGGTGGGGGGTGGGAATCAGGAAAGGCTTCATGGGGAGGGCATTGCAGGCATGGGGACAGCCAGTGCAAAGGCATGGAGGTGGGAGATGGGGTGTTGTGAGTGAGGAACACAGAGGGAGCCAGTTTGGTGGAAGAAAGGGTGCAGGAAGGGAAGGGATGTCCAATGGAGCTGCAGAGGCAGGTTGGGGCCACTTTGTGAAGGGCTTTCAAAGCTAAACAGGGGAGTTCCTTCTTCACCCTGGAGGAAAGAAGTACGTTTTGGATCACAGAGATTTCAACACGTGGCCCTGAACTGAAAGTCTGGCTTAACAGGGACAGCATTCCCTCTAGAGGGGCTTCTCACTCATCCCGCTTTGTTTGGCTTCTCTGTGGAAACATCAGTGTTTGAGTCATGCCTGGGTCACTGAAGGACACAGAAAGAACCCTCTGGTCCCTTGCAAGTACTGAGGCTACGGATACATCGAGCATAGGACGGATTTTATTTGACCCCACAAAAAACATAGAAGACTCACCTCTCAGCCTGTAACCAGTCAAAACTCTTCTCCTTCCCTCTCTGGTGAGTCTCTAGCATTTTTCAGGGACTTATGTGGCCCTGTGGGAAGCCAGGTAGGGTTGTGGTAGATAAGAGTGTTGAGTCTGGAGTCAGGAAGAGACATCTTCCTTGGTTCAAATCCAGCCTCAGGCACCTACTGGCAGCGGGACCCTGGGCAAGTCCCTTAACCCTGTTTACCTTAGGTTCCTCATCTGTAAAATGAGCTGGAGAAGAAAATGGCAAACCATTCCAGTATCTCTGCCAAGTAAACCCCAGGTGGGCTCACGGAGAGTCGGACGCGACTGAAAGGATTCAACAACAAATATGATCCTATAAACGACCAGCTCCCACATACTCCCATAACTCCAGGGTTATGGTGGTAAATATTTAACAACCAGCTCTCCAGGTGTGTGGGGGAGATGTGCACAGAACCCAGTTTTAGGTTTAACCTGTATTACTAACATATTTTCCTTTACTCTCTTTAGTCTCGACCTGAAAAAAGCAAGAAATAGTGAGTGCCCTGGTTTGTAGTGTTTGCCAATTTCCAAGGTAGCAATATTCAAATGAAAATTTAAAATGCGCTCCAGCACACCCCTGGATATATCCACAGTAATGGTGCCAAATTGGACCAGGATTTCTGTAAGTGGAAGTCATGAGGAAAGACTTTATTGATATATAATTAGCCCCAAGATGCTGAGAGTCCAGGAACATGGGACAGACACCCAGTTCAGTCAATGTCCACAGCAGAAGGTTATCCTATTCACAAGCTGCTTCCTTCATGTCACCCTGATGCTATCAGCAACACATTCGCTTCCGTGGTTCCTCTGTCTGGGCACGCCAGGAAACTTTCAAATCAAAAGGGCTTTGAATGAGACTTTAACCTGAATTCAGCCAAATGTATTTGTGAAGTAGACACCTTATAGACAAACATTAGCTGGATATTTCTTAAAGCAAAGACTATCTAAAACTGTATCACTGGAGATGCCCTAGACACTCCTTCCTTGACGCTTCTACCATCCCACATCCCTCTTCCCTTTCATTTTTAAACTCTCCCGAAAGGTTGGCTTCCCCCTGTTTCATTTGCTCAGCCCCGTCTCTCCTCTAGGTTCCTCCCCAAAAGCTCTACAGAAACTGCTCTTTTGAAGTCCCTGATGACCTGCTAATCACCAAAGCTAATGGCCCGATCTTTAAAACAATAATAAATTGAAGTGGTTCTTTGTGCTTTTACAGCACCAATCTTGCTCCCAATGCCTCTTCCCCTCTCGCGTCCCAGATAACTATTCCCCAACAAATACTATTTTACAAGAGAAGGAAAAGGAAAAAGCAGAAGAGACTGTTAAAAATCAGGAAAACGGATCCATATGGTCTCTTCTTTGTAGAAAAAACAAGTGTTTTATTGAAAACCTGATAATGAATACCACCTCTTAAACTTGATTCCTCATAATTTACAGTTAAATTCTTTTATTCCAATAAATAAAATATAATTTTCTCGCTATCTATGATTAACATAGCTCCCCTCCTGTCCCACAATTTCACAAAATAACTACCGTCAGAAAAAACAAGTAAACACGTTGGCCACATCCGGAAGCCACGTCCAGGAAACCATACCTGGTTCAGAATCGATCCTTGCCTTAGTCACAGCTCTGAGGTCTTTCAGACCTCTCTGATGATCGGTATTGTGTTAAGCTATCACACCGCTCCCCTAGTTCTCCTCACTTCCCTCTGCATCAAGTTATAGGCGGATCTCCATACTTTTCCGAATCCCCATAAACTGACTTTTTTCTCAGTCCCCATTCTCCATGGCCCCTCTGCAGCATCAGACATCCCTGACCATCTCTTCTTCCT